CCCCCCCCAACCCCTCCTCCCTCCGCCCCTGCGCGCGCGCGCTGCGCCTGCGCGCGGCCGCCGGCGCCGCGTCCCGTGACGGTGCGCGGGGGATGCGCGGTGCGGGCACGCGCGGGGGATGCGCGGGGCCAAGGGGCGCGCACGGTGCGGGCACGCGCGGGGGATGCGCGGGGGATGCTCGGGGTGGAGGCTCTGGGTGCGGGCTCGGGGTGCCGGGGGATGCGCGGGGTGCGGGCTCCTGGAGGCGGAGGATGCGCGGGGGATGCGCGGGTCGGGGCCGCGGCCCGGGGGAGCCGGCGGTGCCCGGGACCAGCGGCGGGTTCCGGCGGGCGGTCCCGGCCCCGGGCGGTCCCCGCGCTGCGCTCCCGCCCCTTTCCCGTGCGGACCGAGCTCGCTTTTCCTCCCGCAGTTGTTGGCAGCGCTGAACCATGTCCGGGTTCCTGGAGAGCCTGCGGTGCTCGGAGTGCGTGGACTGGGGCGAGAAGCGCAACACCATCGCCTCGGTGGCCGCGGGGGTGCTGGTACGGCCCCGCCCTGCTCGGGATTTTGGGATTCTTTTGGTTTTTCTGCCGTAAGATAAAAATTAGGAGCAGTTTGGGGGGGGGTCTCCCGCGTTACGAGTGGGAGGATGAGAGGAAACGGCTTCAAGTTGTGCCAGTGGAGGCTTAGGTGGAAGAAAAGGGGAAATTTCCCCGCTGAAAGGATGGTCAGGCTGGAGTCACTGCCCCTGGGAATGTTTAGGAAATACACGGATGTGGCATTTGGGGACACGCTTTAGTGCTGACCACGGTGGGCTGGAATTGATTTTAGAGGGCTGCTCCAACCTGAGCAACTCCAGGGAAAGAAAGAACAGGGATAAATTGTCCCTGTGTGGAGCAGCAGAGTTACTGACAAAATCTGGCCCGCTTTCTCCCATCCGTTTTTTGTTTCAATTTCACAGTTTTACCCAGGAAGTAACTGCTGGAGTGAGCTTTGCAGTCAGCTTGATCCCAAATCAGAACTAATGGTGTTACCAGTGGCTCTGAGACAATTGAACAGCAATGATGTTTTCTCTGGAGCAATCTCACAGGCTGAGGAAAGGCTGTGTCTAATTCCAAACTCTTCTTTTCCCCCCCAGTTTTTCACAGGCTGGTGGATCATCATCGATGCCGCTGTGAAATACCCACAAGTGGAAGACTTCAACCATTCCTACCACGCCTGCGGGGTGATAGCCACCATCGCATTCCTGATGTGAGGACACAGCCCAGCCCCTTTGTGCGCTTCACAGTGAAAAGGAGAAGCTTTTCACGCCCCTTTTTGTCCCGTTTTTGTCCCGTTTTTCCCCAGGATCAACGCCGTGTCCAACGGGCAGGTGCGGGGGGACAGCTACAGCGAGGGCTGCCTGGGCCAGACAGGTACCAGGGGGTCCCCAGCTGTGCCAGGGGGGGTTCCTGGGGGTCCCACGGCTGCAGGATATCCCCAAATCCCATTCTAGGGGCTCGGATCTGGCTCTTCATCGGCTTCATGATGGCTTTTGGATCCCTCATTGCTTCCATGTGGATCCTTTTTGGGGGCTACGTGGTTAAAGGTAAGACCCGACCCTGTTTTTGGAAGTTTTTAAGGTGTTTTAAATGACTCCTGAATTTTAGAACTGGTATTTAGAGGGTTTCTAGGCAGGCCCAGCTTGAATATTTTGCCCTACACACCAATATCCTATATAATTACTAATATATAATTACTAATATATATACTACTATGTGTTATGTAATATATATACTACTGTAATATATATAATACATATAGTACTATATGTACTAAAAAAATATGTACTATAAAATTATACTAATTTTGGGGTGGATTTGATCTAAGTACAAACTTCCTCTACAAACCCAGCTCTTGCCCAACTGGGAACTCCATGGATATAATTAAACTGCTGCAGTTTTAAGGGAATAATTCCCTGAGTGAACATTTATTCCCAGACTACAAATTACTGAGTTCCTGCAGATTGCTCCCAAAGCCTCTCTGCTAAATTAGCACAAGGGAAATGATGTGTCAGAAATGGGATATGCTTCAAAATTGCTTCCAAAAAAGTTGATGGGGATTTTTTTTCCCTCTTAGAAAAGCCAGTGGTGTACCCAGGAATAGCTGTGTTTTTCCAGAATGCATTCATCTTTTTTGGGTAAGACTGTCCTCTTTTATTTATTTCCCATTTAATTGGTTTTTAATGATAAAAAACTGCAACTTGCTGCGATCTGTTTGGTCCTGAAGTCCTGTTTTGTAACCAGACCTGTGTGAATAAAGTGGGATCTGCCTGCACAGGAGCTGGATTAACAAATTCCCCTTGAAATCCTGTGTTTAAAACCAGAGGAATTTGATTTCTGGTGTCCCTTTTGCTGTGTTTTTACAGGGGCCTGGTGTTCAAGTTCGGTCGCACAGAGGATTTGTGGCAGTGAACCCCAGCCTGGAGTGCCCTGGGCTTTAACTGCACCCCAAAAAGTTTTGTAAAACCATTTTGTAAACCTTCCATTGTGTCTAAAGAGAAATCAAGGAAAGCTGAAAGCACTAAATACAGCTCTATTCTGTTTATTTTTTTTACTCTTGTACGTCCACTTCAATGTTGTGGTGTTTTTGAGAAATGGAAAATTGCTACAAACAACAGTGGAGTCACTTTTCTAAAATGCTGTTTGCTACAAATAAAAGGAGAGTGGAATATGGATGTATTTAACCAGCTGTTTCTATGATGTTATTTACAACCCAGGACTTACTAAAAACTGCATTAAAACAACCTTTTAACAGGTATTTATTAAATATTTCCTATATCTGGGCAATATAACCATTTCTTCAATTTCAAAACTTGCTGGTGTGTGGCTTTTCTTGTGTAATTCAGAACTGTGGTGGTTTGGGCTTTTTTTCTTTTTCCCCCCCTGAATATTTCATTTATCCTGTGGTGATAAAGAGGAAGTTTCTGGGAAGTAGCAACTCACAGTTGTGTGTAGAAGGTTTGGGCTGAACTCCTGCTGGTTCTGTGGGAGCTGGGAAGGAGGAAAACTGGCTCTTCCCCTGCAATCCTGCATTCCTTGGGAGCTGATCTGCTCATCCCAGGGAGTGAATGAGGCCAGTGAGCCTCATCAAAGGACTCAGCCTTGTCACGAGCTCCCTCCTTCATTCCTCACAGGGCTGCTGAAGGAACAGAAAACAGCCACGTTTTCACTCCTTTATTAGGTAAGCACTGCTGGGAGATTTTCTGTGTCAACTATTTTTGAGAGTAAGAGACACTGAGGATCACACTCCACTTCAAAAGCGGGGTTCACTGGCAGAAAATCCTCTGCACCTCCAAAATTGGGTGCTGGGCCAGGCTCTCCCCTCCCAGACCCTGCCTGAGCTCTGTTTGTGTTTTACATCTGGCAGCAAACCTTTCAGCAGCACCATCCACAGCTGAACTTTTTGCCATCACAACCTCCCAACATCCAGCCCCAGCCAAGTAATCCCAGATTTTTCCAGGAGTTCCAGTCTGGCAGGATGCAGAGCTCTGGGCCTGCTCCAGCACACTCATCAAATCCTGGCTTGTCAAGGCCTTCAGAACAATGAATTCAGCTTAAAAACCTGAGTATTTTACTGGAGACGAAGTGCTCCTTGAGAAATTACACTTTGAAATCCATCATTTTGCCTTTTAAACTCAGGAGTTAAACACAGTTCAGTGTTTCCAAGCATTTGGATTGATAAGCCAAGAATGCAGCCAACTTTTTTTGTACATATCTTACAAAAAAATATTTAAGGCCAACAAAGTAGAAAAGCTGAATGCATCTGAAGTTTGCATCTGTGAATTTACATTTTGTCTTTCAAGAATAACTGGAACAGTTTGATTTTTGAGTGTCCATTTGGAGTGGCTTTTGTGGGCCTCAGAATTGGTATTTCAGTGCTCTTTGAACCCATCGTAGCTGTTGAGTTTTCCTGGTGATAAAGAGGAGAATCTTATCTTGGTCCTGTCAGTCAGCTGGGATCCTCCACTCAAAATCCAACAGACAAGTGAGGAAACTGTCAACACAAACATTCTTGTATCAGAACATATCAAATCATCACAGAAAAAAAACCCAAAACAAATGGAAAAACTGACTAAAAGCTTATTTTCACCCATTTGTTTATCAGATACAGCCTCACATCAGCACCTAAAGGTGCCCAAGGACTGTTTGTGCAGCAAAATGTGCTGGCTAAAGGAATAACCCTTTTTTCCCCTCATTTTTTAAATTCAAATACCTGGAGTTCTTCATCAAGGTGCTAAATGAACTCCCCCACAGGGAATCTGAAATCATTTTGAAACTCACCTCCCAGTAAAATTGGTCATCAAAGTACTTTGAGACATGCCCAGCTTTGAGCAGTTTGACGTTTAAGATTACACCTGTGGGTAAAAAGAGATACAAAATAAACATAAACACCGGGTCAAGGGGAGGTGTTAAAGGAGTTTCTTGGTAACATTTATCCAAATGTATCAGATCAAAACACAAACTCGGACCTAAATCCTCCAGCAGAGCCCCCTGACTGGAGCTGGCCTTAAATACAAAGAGGCTTGCCAGGGATCAAGGCTTGGGATTCTAAAATGAATTACTTTTGATAAAACCCCATTAAACAGCTGCTAGGTTATGAAAACACATCAAAATGATGAGAAGTGCCTGTGTATTTAAAACAATCTGGCTTCTCAGCACTTAGTTTGGCATTTCTGATGGGAATCTGGATTTTTAAACAATTGGTTAAACACTGGTTCTTTCAGATGGATGTTTTCTAAAATTTCCCTTCTTCGTTACACTTCAAGTAATGCAAAGGTTTAAATAAATTAAAACACTCAAAAAAAAAATCATTGTAGGGTGTGTTTCCCAGCAATTTTCATTGGTGATTTCTCTGTTACTCCAGACAGAATTAGGGGCTGGGGAAAAGCAGCAGCTGCCACAGAGCAGAGCATCCCGTGGCAGCCACGTGAGTGCTGCTGCTCCCAAAGCAGCAAAAAGTCCCCGAAATCCCAAAATCTCTTGATCAAAGGGCTGCAGCTGGGCTGAGCCACGCCCTGATGTCATTGAAACTTTGCACATTTGCTCCAAAAGGACTGAAAAGTGACAAGCCCCAGATTGGGGCGTCTTCTGTCACTAAGGCAACACCCAAAAGTGGAAGTTATTTTCATCTTCACACCTCTCCTGTCTGCAGGTTGAAGGCAGCTGTTAAACCTTGGTTAAAATAAAACTTCAGCACTGAAAGAATGGTGCTGCTGGGTTATTTCTGTGCAAAATAGCTCTTCTCCTTCAAAAGCCTGGCTGGGATGAGTCCCTGGCATTAATATTTGCATTTACTGCACGAGTGATTCACCCACAGAAACCTGCTCCAAGGAAATAAAGGAATTCCTGGGATGTTTCAGTACTGACCTGTAATCAAACCTGTCATCAAGGCAGTGCTGATGGTCTGGCAGAAGGCACCAATGTCAACAAAGATCAAATAGCCCAGACTGAAAAGCAAAAAAAAGTGTTTCACCTTTTACTTAGCATTTAACACTGTGAATGAATCTGCATCTATCAAAATCTCCCACAGAAACTGTAATTCTCAAACCTGCAGTTGCAGTGAGATGTTTTTGGAACATACCAGAAAACTAATGCAGACTTCAGAGGATTTATTTTATCCATCTTTTTGGTATTAAAACTTCATTAAATTTGTTTTGTTAAGAGCATAACGAGAAGTGTCAGGCCTTCATGCTGCACCCTGATTTCTCTCTCCCTAATTATTTATCTTCGTTATTTAATGCAAGAATTTATCTACCTGGATAAATTACTCCATTGTTTATGAATCCCATTTTCTATGACAACGAGAACAACAGCAGCCACAGCTCCAAGCACAGCAGGCAAACCAAAAGTGAAATGAACTCCACAAGTATCCTGAATCTTCAAAGCACGATTAAAGCACCTCTGGGAAGAAGAAAAGGTTTAATTGGCACCCAGAAACACAAGTTGGGAATTGCAGATCAGCTGTTGCAGAGCTAGAGGATGAATTTGCTCTCAGGAGCAAATCCTGCACTCTGCTCAGAACACCTCAGGTTTCCCTTGGAAAAGAGGTTTTTCCCTTGGGGTTATCCTGCATTGAAAAAGAATCTTAGCTTATCCAAGAACCATTTTGAGGTTTGAGCATTACCTGTAAACAGTGAGATCCCAGGACGGTGATGACACTGCCAAGCAGCCCCAGAATCATGGCAATCCAAGGGTGCAGGATTCTGGATGCTGTGTAACTGATGGTGACCCCTCCAGCCAGGACTGCACTGTGGATGTGAGTCTGTACAAGAACAAGAACGGGGAGTTAAGGGACTTTTTACAAGGGTTTGTAGTGATAGAACAAGGGGCAATGGCCTTAAACTGAAAGAGGGAAGGTGCAGATTAAATATTAAGAATGAATTGTTCCCTGGGAGGGTGGGGAGGCCCTGGCACAGGGTGCCCAGAGCAGCTGGGGCTGCCCCTGGAACCCTGAGAGTGTCCAAGGCCAGGTTGGACAGGGCTGGGAGCAGCCTGGGACAGTGGAAGGTGTCCCTGCCACGGCAGGAGTGGAATGAGGTGATCTCTGATGCTCCTTGCCATCCAAACCTGTCTGTGAGTCTGTGACTGTCAGACCCTGGACTTGGTTTCAGTTAACAGCTGTTGTATCGCCAGTGTGCTCCTGAGGGTACCAGAAAATCCCTTTGAACAGAAAAAACCCCGTGCAGGGATGCTCCCTCACCCTTACCATTCTGAACTTGCCATCCTTGGAGGTCAGAGCAGACAACATGAAGGCAGCCACAGCACTCACTGCGAGGGCCAAGTAAGTGTTGAGCACTGCTTGCTTCTTGGAGTCAGCCAGGATAGAATTGAAGCTTGGCCAGAACACCCAGACAAACACAGTACCTTGGGGACAAGGACAAGAGACCCTCAGGAGCTGCTCTGAGGCACAGGGAACCCATCACTGCCTGTCTCTGGACACAGCCCACACTGCATTCACTGTAATTCCCAAACCTTTCCCAAAGCAGAGCCTCCTCTAAGGGCAGTCCCAGCGAGGAACTGCTGCTGTCAAACCTCCATGGCCACCCAGGCTTCTCCAACAGGAATGAAAACAGGTTCTCCTGCTTCTGTGCCCTTAATGGTCAGCACTGGGGAAGCCCAGGCTCCCTGGAGCCCAGTCCTGCCTGGCAGGATGCGTGACTCCCTGCATGCCAGGGGATGCACGTGCACAGATGGAATTGCAGCCAGCAGAGGGATGTGGTGGCCTCAGAGCGCCTCAGGCTGATGGCACAGCCCTGAGCACAGACACAGACCCTGCCCAGCTGGGACAAAGTTTCCAGCCCACTGCCATCACTGATGTTGTGTTCCCCACCCCACAGAGGCACCAGATCCTTGTGCAATCCACCTGACATTTGGTGTGTTCTTGTCCAAGACCCCCAACAAGTGACACAGGCGTTGTCACTGTGAGGCACAAATGCAGTTTCCAGCAGCCCTGGCAGGCTCTGATTGTGCACCAGCTCGTCTGGGCTCTGTGAAATCCAGCTCCCATTGCTAATATCCACGGTGTCAGTGCACCAAGGCAGAGATAACCCTGCCTCAGATAGGAGAGGCCATTTCAGCTACTCTAAACCTACACTGAGGACTTGTGAGATGATTCACCCTGTTCCCATTGATTAGGCAGTCAGTCATGAATATAGATATAAAATCTGCTGAAGTATTCTAATGAGAATCTGCTGAGCTCTGGAAATGAACAGCAAACAAGAACTCCAGGGACACAAAAGAGCAGCACTTCAATTTGGTATTCCCTAACCTGGGCAAAGACTGACTGAGGATGAGACTCTGTGGACTCCTGCAGGAAGCTCTGGGTTCAGCTGGTGGCACGACCAGAACTATAAAAGTTGTGATAATAAGAAAAGGAATGAAAGTCCCAGACACCAGATCCTCTCTGGTGGGCCACTCCCCACCCTTCCCCAGGCTTTATCTTTTTATTTATGTTACCAGCAGGGACTGCCCCTTTCTATCTCTGTGCACCACCTGGAGAAGCAGCCTGAGCTCTGCTGAAATACAAGTTATGAGCTCAGCTCTGGCCCACAGCCCCTCACCAGCAGGCCTGGACAAACCAGAGGGGACAACCTGGCCAGGAAAGGGAGTGCTGAAGCTGGAGAAAGAACTGCTAACCTGGAGTAGCTTTTATGCTGAGGTGACAAAAGCAAACTGAGCCCCAGCTGGGGCCAGGTAGGAATGTCACAAACCAGAGCACAGCAGCAGTTTCTGTGCATTTCAACCCCCAACCCTCATCCAGCAATCCCTGCAATCCCTTGTCCAGCTGAGGCATTGCAGCCCAGGACTCACCCAGCATGGAGAACAGGTCTGACTTTGGGGTGCTCCTGTGCTTGTCCAGCCCTGGGGCAGGCGCAGGGAAGCGGGAGGTGACTGCCAGACCAAAGTAGGCTCCAAAGAGGTGCACATGCATCAGGGTGAGGTGCTCTGGGACCTGCAGCAACAGAATATTCACCATCTGTGGGCTGATTCAGGCCACACAAAGCCTTTGCTGCAGCTCCTGACAGAGCTGTTCCAAAGCCCCAGTGACATTTCCCCTCACACATCTGAGAATCCCACCAGGGTACCTGCAGGAGTGTCCTGTTGATGCATCTGCTCACATAGAAAATGATTAATTCCACCAGGGTCATCACAATTAACTGCACAGGACTGGCCTTCCCCAGCACAGCCCCAGAGGAGATGGCCACAGCAGTCATGCTCACCACAGCCTTTGCCAGACTGCAAGAAAGAAAGGAGAGAAAAACAACTCAGTCTCAGGGTGACACCAGGGCCGATAAAAAGGAACAGAACAATGTACTTAAAAACCAAGAACCCTCTAAAATGCCTGTAAAAGTGACTCTGCTCATCCCTAGAAGCACAAGGAGCAATCAGCAATTCTGGAAAAGCTCTAACACAAACTCGTTACCTTCTCATGCCAACTTCACTTTGCTGTAGGCTAAGGAAAACTAATAAATCATCTACCAGCACAGAGCACTGGACACCAAGAACAATCAGCAAGAGGTTGAATCCAGTGCTGCTAAAGCCATATCTTCTCAGAACTATCAGGAAGAAGCCAAATCCAAAAATGACCATGTGGTTGACATCTTGAAATTCTGCAGGACAGAAAATAACAGGACAGCAGTGAAATTAATGCAGATTTCTGCTTTAGAAAACATCAATTAAGAAATTACAATTAACTAAGAAGCCTACAGATAAAAAACTAAGTTTTTTAACTAAGCCACTACTGTTTAGAGCTTGCAAAGAATTCCAGAGCTTTCTTTCCAATCTATAATCAGAGAAAAAAATACCCTTAATGCTGATTTTTACACAGTGACCTGAATGGATGACACAGGATGGGGACTGAGAGGTCAAAAAACCCAACAGAAAACTGACCAAAAATACAATTTAGCACACCTGGGATATAAAGGAACCCCCACCACTCCTGGCAAGTTCAAAGAGCAATAAAACCGTTCTGCAGGGCACACAGCAGGAGCATCATCCCTCCTTTCCCAGCATATTCCAGGCTTACCTGGGTAGAAATTGGACGGGGAGTAGATGTCACCGACACCTGGGAAGACAAAGAAAGAGCGGATGAGGAAGAGAGTTTGCAGAGACAGGATCAGCCAGGGCACACTGCAGCGGAAGTTGAGGTAACGGGAAGGCATTGTGCGCTCGGCTACATGAAGCACCAACACGTGAATTATTCCTTCTCCCTGTAAAAATGCCCTGCTGTCCTCACACCAATGGCAAAGGAGGTGTGGGGGGCCAGCTGGGAGAACTCGGCGAGAGATAAAAGCGCCAAGAGGCGTGAGCAGCTCCTTATCTGTGCTGTGGCAGGAGCTCAGCCCAGCTCACAGAGAGCCCCTGGACACAGGCACAGGCGGCTGCCACCACCCCCAGGACACCTCCTGGGGCCTGGCAGCTCCCCAGAGGGCAAGGAGAACACACACTCCCTGAGCAGAATCATCATTTGTGGGCTTTGGTGCTGTCACAGGAAGGTGGGGAGGGTCCTGCTGAGACCCCCAGTGGGATTCCACAGCCCTGCAGACACATCCCACAGCAAACCCTGGATGGGTGGATCCAGGGAATCAGGGACCTCTGGAGATGCAGCACCTCCTCCTCCTACTGGAGGATCAGTCTGCTGTTCACAGAACAGCTCCAGGGACGCTTTATGGATCCATAGTACAAATCATGGGGTGGTTTGGGGGGTTTGGGACCTTAAATCCCATCCAGTCTCACCCTTCCATGGCAGGGACACCTTCCCCTGCCCCAGGCTGCCCCAAGCCCTGTCCAGCCTGGCCTTGGGCACTGCCAGGGATCCAGGGGTAGCCACAGCTTCTCTGTGCCAGGGCCTCACCTCCTCTGAATAAAGAATTTCCTCTTAATATCCATCCCAACCCTGCCCTCTGGCAGTTCAAAGCCATTCCCCCTTGTCCTGCCATATAAAAATCCCTCTCCTCCCTTTATGAGCCCCCTTTAGGCACTGGAGGAACATTTGTCCCCCCTCAGCATTCCCTGTGCCTGTGAAGTGAGCCCTCTGTGCAGGAAATTCAGATTAAAGCACTGTAATTACACCTCAGACTCTGCTCTGAGGCTGTCACAAACCCAGAGCTGAGCTGGCACAGCATAGAAATGGGGAGAAACGTGCTCAGAAATAGGGATAAAGCCACCTGCTGGTGACAGGGACATTTATCAGGCAAAAATATACACGGAAAACTCACAGCTCACTTAAATTTTAGGACATCCCTCCTGCCAACCCAGGCTGTAGGGCACAATAATAGTGTTCAAAGCATCTCTGCAAGGTTTGGATTTGTGGTGACAGCTTGAACCTTCCTCCCATCCAACATCAAACTGCTTTAATAGCAAATCACTTCAATCCCAAAGCCCTCTCCCAGTTTTCGTTTAGGCCTAACAAAGTTAAATATCCCTACACACATTTCAGAAACTTCTAAATGACATAGAAAAAACCCAAAAAACTTTCCTAGGCATGCAAAGCACTGCCCTGGCTTCAGGAAAATCCTGATGCAGTAAGATCCACATTCAGGTTCTTTTTCTGGGAATTCTCTGAGCCCATGGGTAACTCAGACAGAACCAGAACACCTGGTGAACTTTCTCTGGACAGAACAACAGTTCAAGCAGCAATTTAGGAATTAATTTAGCTAACACAATGTAGCCTCTTTGCTACCTGCTAGTAAATCCCCTCAGTGTTAACACCCAGGGAAAGCATCCCAAATGTGAGGAATTCACCCATTTTCCCTCAGGATGACACATTGGAAAGGTGATGCTCAGACTCACAGCTTATACATCCAAACACAGACCAAAGGTCGGTGATCTCTGCCAGGGTGAAGCACAAATTAACTTTTATATTAGGAAAAAGTTCTTCCCCACAAGGGTGGGGAGGCTGTGGCTGTCCCTAGATCCCTGGAAGTGTCCAAGGCCAGGTTGGATGAAGCTTGGAGCAGTTTGGGACAGTGGAAGGTGTCCCTGCCCATGACAGGGGATGGAACAAGATGATCTTCAAGGTCTCTTCTAGCCCAAACAAATCCATGATGCCTCGATTCTAAATTATAACTCTACTGCCAGGAAAACACCCTCATGACTCAGCCCAACACCCTCCTGGGACAGTTTTAACGCCGTTTTGGGACCCGCACTCCTCACACTCAGCCTTGCTCTGGGTGATCCATCATCCCCTGGCAGGCCCAGCCCAGCCCCGGAGCAGCCCAGGCCGCGGGCACCGCCACCCCGCACCCAGCCAGGCCCGGGCGGGGCCCACACCGCGCTCCGGCTCCCTCAGGAGCGGCGCCGCCATAGTTCCCCTCACGGCTCCCACAGGCCGCAGAGGACTCAGGGACTCGGGGAGGGGGCTCCACGGAGACCCCAACCGCGGGCCCAGGGCTGGGGGCGCAGCCGGGCTGCCCTAGCGAGCAGAGCCCGGAGCGCGGCCCCACAGCGCTGCCGCCGCCCGGCCGTGACTCGGCAGCCCCCGCTGGCGGCAGCGGCGGAACCCGCCCGGCCCCGCCCCTCGCTCAACGCCCGCCCCCTCCCCACAGGCCGCCCATAGGGACTGCCCTCCTATTGGCCGAGCTCAGCTCCTCCTGGCCTCTGATTGGTCTATCCCCAGCACCGGCCGTCTTTGGGCTGCGCGTCCTGCACTGCGATTGGTTCGCTCGCGCGTCACTCAGCTGCACGCGCTATTTATTGGCTGGCGAGGCCCGTCATTCCCCGCGGGGGTTATTTTGCCCTCCGGTGAGCCGGCAGCGTAGGCCGCGCTGTGGGGGCGGCGCCGGGAGTCGCAAACTGTCACTGCTTGTTTTTGCACCTGAGACATTGCATCCCCTTCCCCAACTGCCCATTTGCCAGCGAGGTTGTCAATCAAGCGGGAGAGGTGGCACCTCTGTGCTACGGTGACAGAGGAAATTGAGCCCTCCTTCTTCCGTTTCCGAGTGGATGGCTGAGCTGTCCTTTTATTTTTCTGTTTCTCTTCCATTGGGCAGTTTTGCTGTCGGTCACTGCAAGGGGCAGGAACAAGCCCGCAGCGCAGTAGGCGGGAGGAGACTCAAATCTATATTATGATTGGCTGACAGATCCGTCAATCAAAAAGTATCATCTCTGATTGGGTTGTACGGCCGTCATTCACAGGCGTGGGCGTGCCACGCGACGGCACGAGGCGGGCTCAACTTTCTAGCACTGCGATTGGTCTATTCTACCGTCTGTCTGACTTTCCTCGCTGCTGATTGGTCGCAGATGCTGTCACTCAGATAGTTTCCACCGTTTGATTGGTCAGCGCCGGGGAGGCGGGGCGCTGCGCGGCGGCTGCGCGGGGGGACACGGCGGGGAGGGACGGACCAGGAATTATTTTTATTTCTTTGTTTCCCGGGGAAAAAAAATAGGAAAAAAAAGGGAAAAAAAGAAAAATAAACGAAAAAAAAAGGCCCCGCGCTCGGGAACCCCCCGCGGGGGCGGATGGTGCTGCCGTGAGCGGGGCGGGCCGGGCCGGGCCGGGCCGGCGGGATGAAGCGGCGGAGCGCGGACTGCAGCAAACTGCGGCGGCCGCTCAAGCGGAACCGCATCACCGAGGGCATCTACGGCAGGTACCGAGCGGCCGCCGCGGCGCCGGGAGCGGGCGGTTCGCGGCCCCGGGCTCTCCCCGGTAGCCCCCCGGCCCTGTCACCGTCATGGCGCCCCGGCTCCCCTCAGGCGCTGCCCCGCCCCGGGCCCTCCGCGCCCCCGGGGCTCCGCCGCGCCGGGGGCAGCTGCTGGCCAAGGTGCTGCCGGCACCGCCGGGAGGGAGCGGCCGGAGCCGGCCCTGGGCTGAGCACCCAGCACCGGGGCCTTCCCCCTGTGTCACCCCCGGGGGGCTCCGCTGGGGCTCCCCGAGCCTCTCCCGGCTCTCCCTGGGGAGTTTTTCCCGGTGGGGTCTCGCAGCTGGACATTGCCGGGGGTAGCGGAGCTGCCCGGGGAGGTTTTCCCGGCTGGGCATTGCCAGAGGCTGCACTCGGCAGCGGTGAACACCTGGGCTGCTGGCTCCGCTCTTCGTGCAGGGTTTCACGAAGTTGTTTATCCCGAGCCGTGGGGGCAGGAGATGTTTTGGGAATTCCCGGAGCAGGGATGGATGGCCTGGTGTGGTGGGGACAGAGCAGGTGCCCGACTCACCTCTGACCTGGGGAATGAGGAAACAAACAGCGCTGAAGTGAGATGCCCGTGGGGTGTGCCTCACCCTGGGAACCGGGATGTGTTTTCCGGGTGTCCACAGGCAGAACGCACCAAAACTCTGATTTGTGTCCCAACACCGTCGTTGTGAGCCTGTTTAAAGAGTCCTTTAGAACTCTGCTCTCCCGAGTGCGTCGGATTTTGTGTGGAACGCAGTAATTCTGCATTTCTCAATCAGCAGGAGTTTGTGAGAGCTGTAGTAAAAGTGCTGCTGTCCCATTTCTGTTTCTAGTTCAGTGGGGTTGATGAATGCAGTGCCTGGAAACCTGAGCGAGCTCATACAATTCAGATGTTAAACTTTGCATGAGGGAAGCAGCTGCTGGGGAGCTGTGACAGGAATAAAATTGTCCCAGTGTGCTGCTTATCCCACTTGTAGTGAGTCTGTGAGAGTAGAGAGCTTTTTGCTTTAGACTGTCAGGTTTTGGGAAAACGCTGCCTGGAATGGTAAAGGAAAACATCCCTCGTGTAGAAATTATTATTCAAGGTGAAGAATAATTCAAATATATAAGGAATTGCTTATTTCAGAAGTCATTCCAAATGCTTTGCCCTTGAGGTGACTGGCAGGGAAAATGGGATGAGAGAAGGAGGAAAAAATCAGGGAAAGCTCAGAGGAACTCCAGGAGCTGAGTGTGTGCAGCAGGAAGAGCTGCTGGTGTCCTGTGAGCACCTCTGGCTTTGATTCTCCTGGCATGCTTTGGCTCAGGAATGGGATTTTTAGCCTTTGCTTCA